CAATTCTCAGTTCAAATCTGGAGTTCAATCTTTTCCTCGTTGCAGGCACTGCGAAAGGACCAACCACGCAGAGAAGGATTGTTACTGGAGCGACCCAGAGAAGCGCAAGCAGCTGAAGGCAGCTAAAGCAGGCGAGAAAAGGAAGAACACCGAAGGACCTGCTCACTGGGAACTACGTTCATCAAAGGACAAGAAACCTGAGGGACCAGGTGTGGCCAAAACGGCCAAGAGAGGAGCTTTAGAGTCTCTAATTGAGAACAGATCTTTGGTATGTAAAATCCCTCTTATTACAAATGAGTTGAAATTCTATTTAGACAGTGGTGCCTCAGACCATATGTGCAGTGATATCGGTTATTTATTTAATTATAATACCTCAGTAAGACAGCCAATTGAATGTGCTGGTGATCAAGTTTTATTTATTGAGGGTCATGGTGAATTGCTGACTAATCCTGTCAAGCACAATGGATTGTCCAGGGTCTGTGATGTGCAACATGTGCCGGATTTAAAATCAAATTTGTTGTCAATCAGTAAACTGACTAGGAGTGGACTCGCAGTGGTGTTCAGGGATGATCAGTGTGGGGTGTACCTTAAGGATGATGTCGATCTTTCTGGTGAACCTCTTCTGAAAACCCATGAGTCAAATGGTACTTATAAAATTAATTTGGAAGTTAGAGAAAATGAACAAATGCGTGCCACCCAAGCTCTTAAAGCTGATGTGATAAAATCCGAGCCATGGCATGAAAGACTGGGACATCTTGGTAAAAATCATATGGGTCTTATTCAGAAACTTGTGTGTGGCATGGATAGAGTCAGTCAATTCGACCATAAGTGCTCCACATGTCAAAGAGCGAAAAGGACCAAGAGTTCTTTCCCTAAGGGGGGATCTCGCAGGGCAACCATGTTGCTTGAGATCATTCACTCTGATGTATGTGAAGTCACTGACAAAATTTCTTATCAAGGTTTTAAATATTTTGTAACTTTCATTGATGACTTAACCAGATATACTTACATTGGTCTGTTAAAGAATAAGAGTAATGTGTTTGAAGAATTCAAACAATATAAATCTCTTGTAGAAAGGCACACTGGTAACAAAATTAAATACCTAAGATCAGATAATGGTGGAGAATATGTAAATGAAAGGTTCAGACAGTTTTTCAGAAGTGAGGGGATGTTAAATCAGCACTCTGTTGCCAGAAATCCTCAACAAAATGGGGTGGCAGAGAGGGCTAACAGAACTCTT